TGGCCATGCTGACCATGCCAAGCTTGCCTGGTGCATGGCTGGTGACCAACACCATCGGTGGCCGTGCCGAGCTCGCATGGCGCGTGGCCGGTGAGTAGCACCTGTTGGTGGCCGTGCGATGCTGAGCTCTCCCTCTCCCCACAGCGCTGAAGGTGCAGCTGGACACCAAGCTCTTTGGGCAGCACCTGGCCAAGGACGTGGTGCTGAAGGCGGTGATGGGCTTCAGCAGCAACGCCAGCCCCAAGAAGCCGCTGACGCTCTCGCTCCACGGCTGGGCCGGCACCGGCAAGAACTTCCTCAGCCAGATCCTGGCGGAGCAGGTCCACCCCGCTGGCCTGCGCAGCAAGTTTGTCCATCTCTTCCTGGCCACCCTGCACTTCCCCCACCACGACCAACTCGGGCTCTACAAGGTGAGGAGGGACGCAAGGTGATCCAGTTACTGCGAGTCCCTCAACCCCCTAGTACGGGGGTTTGGCTGTTTGTGTTGCGTGTGTCCCCCAGATACCTGGGAACTGGACATGTACAGCCGGGTACCTTCAAAGTTGGTGCTTAGGAGAGAGGGAGGGGGAAATGCACGCAGAAAGTGAAAGAGAAAGGCGCCAAAATGGCAAGAAATCTAAAGTGAGAGTAATTTCCTAGTGCCGTCCTCTCACTGATGCCATCTGCCGATTCCTGCGGTGCTTGCTGCTAGGAAAGAATCCCGTCATTAAAACTGGGCTTGCTGGTTGGCTGGGATGGAGGTAACTTTCTCCGTAGCAGCGCCTGCGGTGCCGTGTTTCGCATTTGTGGCTACAACAGTGTTGATAATGCACCAGTGTTTTGGCTGTTACTGAATAGTGCTCGCACAGCCTCAAAACTTGCTTTTTTACCCAACTCGTAGCGAGCAGGCTGGGGCTGTGGTGTGCAAGAGACTGGGGGGGGACACAGCCGGGACAACTGACCCTAATCAGCCACAGGGATATTCCGTACCATATCATGTCATGCTCATCAATAAAAACGGGGGTAGAAGAAGGAAAAAGTGGGGGGTGTTGGTTTCCAAGGTGGTTGTTGCTCTAACACTGGCTGGGTGTTGGTCTGCATGTGTCGGGGGGGTGAGTGATTCCCTTTCCTTGGTTTTTTCCTCTTTCCATCTCCTATCAAACTGTCTTTATCTTAACCCATTCATTTTCTCACTTTTATTCTTTGTCCTCTCTCCCCCATCCTGCTGGGGTGCTTGGCTGCTGGCTGAGTCAACCCACCATGCACTATGCAATGAGAAAGCGTAGTCTACGTGAGAGATTTTTCAAGCGACTTAATTCCTTGACATTGCAGAATTCTGATCTTCATGTTTTAATGTTTGAAGGTACCCAGATGTGGTTTCTGTATGAAAGAGGAAACACTGATTTTTTTTAATTTTTTTTTTTTGAAAAAAACAAACAAAAAGAAGCCCACTCTTCTGCAAGACTTGCCATCTCAGCCCGATTTTTGTGCCTTATCTGTACACTAGGCAGAAAGAATGAGAAAGTCTCTCACCTGTGAGCAGGAAAACAATTCACATTTCAATTCAGTGTCACATGTTAAAGGGATCAGCCACAGTTTATGGTCCTGTCTTCAGGAAAAAGTATAACCAGTGAGTGTGGGATGCTGACATTTGAGAGGGTGTCCCTAGAGGCTGCACATACACATAATTTGCCGTACGTCCCCAAGAGACCTAGTTTTCCAGCATTTTTCGACCTCTTGTTCCAGGAACAGCTGCAGAACTGGATTCGGGGCAACGTCAGTGCCTGTCCCCACTCCGTCTTCATTTTTGATGAGATGGACAAAATGCACCCGGGTCTCATTGATGCCATCAAGCCGTTCTTAGATTATTACGAGCAGGTTGATGGGGTGTCCTACAGGAAAGCCATCTTCATCTTCCTCAGGTCTGTAGCACCTATTTCAGTCGTTTTGAGATACTGAGATAAATCTGTGTTTATGATGATAACGATGCTCCTATGGGACCTCATTCAAAGAACAGCAAAGAACACCTCTCTGGAGGCAAGATCCTCTCTGTAAAGACAGAGGGCAGCACCCTGAGCTCTTGCGTGGCCTGTGGCTGTAGTGGAGCAGGTCTGATGCTGTGCAGCAGACCACTGCAGCGTGCTGAGCTCACGAGCCTGGCCCAGAGCACCGATCGCATGAGAGTTCACATGTTGGGGAAGCTGTCTGGGATGGGTGCACCGTGTACTGGCTCTGGCTGGGATGGACTTAACTGTCTTCACAGCAGCCGGTTTGGTGCCGTGTTTTGGATTTGTGGCCAAAAGAGTGTTGGTAACACAGCAATGTTTTGGCTGTTTCTGGATGGTGCTTGCAAAGCCTCAAGGCTTTCTTTTTTTCCCATGCTGCCCCCAGCGAGAAGGCTGGGGTGGGCAAGGGGATGGGAGGGGACACAGCTGGGACAGCTGACCCGAACTGGCCGGGAGACTATTCAATACCATGTAATGTCATGCTCAGCAATAAAACCTGGGGTAGAGAAAGAAGGGGGGGTTTCAGCTTCCAAGGTGATGGTTCTTCGGAGACTGCCTGGGCGTTGGTCTGACTGGGGGGGTGGTGAGTGATTTCCTTAGCCTTCTTTGGGGGTTTTTTTCTCCTCTTTTCATTACCTGTTAAACTGTCTTTATCTTGACCCACAAGTCTTCTCTCTTTTGTTCTTCCTGTTTTCTCCTTCCATCCCGCTGAGGCGGGAGGGAGTAAGCGAGCGGCTGCGTAGGCGCTTGGCTGCTGGCCGGGGTCAACCCACCACACACTGATGGCTATTTAAAGAACTGGAGACTTTCCCTATATTTTGGCTTACGGGTTTCTGTTTTGCTGATTTGTTTGACATCATGAAGATTAGCAATACGTGTGACCAGCTAGAAAAGAAATTCTGGTTCAGTTGTGCCTATTCACCACTGCATAGTTTTCTTTTATGAACAGCAATGCAGGTGGTGACTTAATTAATAAAGCAGCTCTTGAGTTCTGGACGAGTGGAAAGCGCAGGGAAGAGATTCAGCTGAAAGACCTGGAGCCCATGCTATCCGTAGGCGTCTTCAATAACAAGAATAGTAAGTCACTCTCCCCAGAAAATGGGAAATTCCTTTTGCTTCATAATGCAGGTTCAGCTCTTGACCCTGCCCTGCTTCTCCCTTTCCCCCAACTCCTCCAGGTGGACTGTGGCACAGCAGCCTCATCGACAGGAACCTCATTGACTACTTTGTCCCCTTCCTGCCCCTGGAGCACAAGCACGTGAAGATGTGCATCAGGGCTGAAATGGTAGCCCGTGGCTACGCTGTCGATGAGAAGGTGGTTCAAGCAGTGGCTGATGAGATGACGTTCTTCCCAAGAGAGCAGCAAATCTACTCTGATAAAGGCTGCAAGACTGTACAGGCCAAGCTGGATTTTCACCAAGACGTTGCGATGAGAGATACGAAAGCCAAGGGTTGATTACCCTTCAGGTCTCCAAAGCACTTTCAGAGCTTTTGGAAATCTGTGTATTTGCACTTAAGCTTTTTTACTGTTGCAGGGAGTATGGTGAAAATACCAGTGAGCTGTGTGGCCTTTTTAACTTCTTTTTGTTTTTTAAACTTATCCCACTGTTCATCTCTGAACTGGCTGGTATCCACATGTTGCCCCCTTTATTTTTCTTCTAACCTGTAGACAATTTCTGAGTGTGACATATATAGTTTCCTGCTTTATTCTTCCAGGTGCTGGGATTATTAAGTATTTAATTCTTCTTTCCAAAAAGCTAGACTAGAGCAAAGGAGATCAGAAGAATTCTTCCAGGCAGTCACATTCCCTTCCTTGTACACGGTCTCGTTCATGGGCTAGTGAAATGTGTGGTGTGTCCGGGACTGTGATAGTGTCTGCAAGGGCGAACACCCTGATGCGTTGCAGTAAGAAGATGGTATGGTGGAAGGCTTCCTGCCCTTCACAGCAGATTGATGCTGTTGTGGCTTCTACAGACGAGCGTCAGCTGTTCAGGGACAGAAGGGCATGATTATAGTTTATGTCTGAGCTGTGGCATCACATCACATCTCTTGCCACAGTGACGTGGAAAATCGTGATGAGCTCAGGGAAGTCTGTTACTAAATAGTAGAGAAAGGGTGTAGGGGGGGAAGTAACTGCTTGCCCCTCTGCTTCTTTGGGGAAGAAGAAATTGTAAAAGAAACTTTATATTCTTCTGATGGGGCTAAGTGAATTTGTGTGATAACTCCAGGGTGTTTGTCCTCTTAAGCAGAGGGACCCATTGGACGGATCTGACTGTAACAACATACTAGGCCAGTCTCTGTTCTTAATCAGAAAAATCTCCCATGAGGATTTGAGTGTTGCACTTGTCAGGTTAATCTGCATGCGGGCTCCTGGGCCTGAAGTCAGCAGGCTCTTTAGTAGTCCCTCCCAGCTGCACCCAATAGCCTAGGAGTGGGTAATGCTACTCTCACCTTGCCTGGAAGACACTTCCATGGCAGAAGGTACTTTTAATAGTGTAGTTTTATACTGAAGGGTAAGCAACAGCAATACAAAGCTCTTCCTAGAGAGCCACAGAGAACGGAGTATGGGAAATGGGAGCAATCAACAACAACCCCGTACCTCACTAGATAAGTATGTTTTATAGTAGCTTTTAACATTAAAGAATGTCTGTGTGGAAGGGTGAATGGTGAGTTCGGAAGCTGGGATTTACCTTCACCCACTTGGTAAGGCTGTGGTTTAAAACTCTCTTACAAGCTTTAATTCCTTCATCATCCATCACTTGTGGCTCACATACTGTAGTGCAAGACAGAAGTGCCTATCACTTGGTTGACTGCAGTGTGTTTTTTAAACTGATATGAGGGTGTGGTGGTGCATTTGCTCCCCTCCACGCTACTGGGTCACTCCACGACCTCAGAAACTCCCGTTAAACCTTGGCCTTGGTGTAACGAGTCAGGCGGTGAAGCGTCCCTTTACCGTATCAGGAACTCTTGCGTCG